CTCTCACCAGGGCCCTTTCTCTAATCTGGGATTGTTTTTTTTTTTTTTTTTCTTAAAAAACAAAAGCATAGTATCAGTTTTGAACTTACCACAAGTAAAAGTCCCTGAAGGGATGAATGCTGTGGAGAGGAACTCCTCAGCAGTCGGGGTTGCAGGGATGGCTGAAAGGGATGCCAATGACGGGGTGCGTGGCGAAGGAACAACCTGGCCAGGCAACTCTGCCCCGAGAAGGAAAAGAGGAAACAAACAAACAAACAACACAGAGATCTGGTGACGTGCGATGGCAAGACAGGGACCCCCGCCCCATTATTACACTTGTGTGTCTGCGGCCTCAACCTCAAACAGATCCTGCCTTTTAACACTCACCAGGCTCCCAGGTGCCTCCCCCCCCGTCTGCCAGATGACTGCGGGAGTCTCTGTGGGATCCAGAAGTGGGAGAGAGTGGACCTAACGTGGCCCACCTTCCCAGGGGTCCTCACTGGTCTGGGAGGCGTGCTAAGAGAGAGGACACTGCAGACACCCAGGCCAACGACACAAGAGCCAGATGAAAAAATCAACAAGACCCCAACCCCCCCGTGTGCCGAGGCTATTGACTGCCCGTCCCTAGGGGAAAGACCACTGATGACAGGTTTTTCCAGAAGCCACGATTCTTGTTGAGATCACCCCAAAACAGAATCCAGGCAGCATGTGGGAGCCCAGAACCTTCTCCTCTCCTGTTCCCCAACCCCGCCCAGGCTCACACCCCCACATGCCCTTAGAAAGAAACCCACAAGCCCTCCGCTGTCTCTGTTTTCCTTTCTTCTCTCCATGCCTCCCAGAGCTTCCCGGGACGCGAATGTTAGCTGTTCTCTTAACTGCACGGGAAAATCAGAATTTATTGTACATATGTTTGTGTTCCACTTAATAAAAAAACCTATATTTTAAGATAAACTTTGTTAGTAATTCATGAGGTAAGTGACTATTTATGCTAATCAGGCAGAAATATATTCTCAAGCATAATGCATTACATAAATTTGAATGCAAAATGTTCAATTATGAAGTAAATACAGGTAATGTAAATAATAAATTACCTCTAATAAAAATTATAAAAGATGTGTCTTCCAAGAGAGAGAGGGAGCGGCTTTAACTTACAACTGTGAATTGCTTAAAGAGAAAAGAATTAATAAATGCTGAATTACTCCGGCGATTATTTAATGCATAATTCCCCCATTCCCGACGAGTGCTGGTAATCAGGCCGCTGTTTGGTGTCCTCCAGCGTGAGGCAGGACTGTTTCCTCAGCAGTTCTGCCCTTATCAGATTATCTCATCTGATTCTATTAATTTTCTTCCATGAATCTGCTAACAGTGATCTGTGATTTACTCGGCCCGCTAACTGAAGATTGTTAAAAGGATTTATCTAACGCTGGGCTGCCTGATCGTTCAGTCCCTCCCAAGAACCCCTTCTCAGATCAATTCAGGTGGCTTCCCAGTGGAAGGTGGCCACTGCCCAGCGCTCCACTGCCCAGATCGTCTCCCAGATAAACAGAGAGTTGGGCCTCCGTGCAGAATGCACACGGCCGGCTTCAGCGTGACACACTCACGGGGGAAACTGGTCCCCTGCCGCTTCTCATCTCGGTAATCTGTGCGCGAGGGTTTTCTTTTCATCTTGCGTGAAGTTGTTGCGTGTGGCCTGACACGGAAACTACGATTGTGTTTGGATTTGACTCTTTCGCAATCTTTGACGTGATGCGACCCATGCACTCCTCCTCCGCAAACATCTTCTATAAATATTCATTGCTTTCAGAGACTTGACAGCCACTGGTTTGAATTGGTCAATGATGACAAACGCATGGTTTCTAAATTACTGTATATTGTTCTGTAGAGACTGCTGGAGTATATATAGCAAGGGGGTATTAAGTTGTAGCAAAACACAGTTCATATTGTATTTGGATTAGATTGGCTTGGAGGGAACTGAAAGTTAGCAAAGAAATCTAAAAAGATTCGGCTTGCTGTAATTGCAGAGAGAGAGAGACCTGAATAGTACTAATTAAAATGAGAGAGCCCGATTGTCACAGAAGACATGCGGCTAAACAGGGAAGTGTAAATGTTTAGACACCCCTGTGAGTCATGAAATCACAAAGCAAAAGGGACGGCAGAGCCTGTGGGCACCGCTGCTCCGCATCTCACAGACAGCCCTGGCCTGGCCCTCGCTCTCCCCTGCCTTCGCTGAGGACCTGGGAGGCCCGAAAAGACGCCTCAGTGAGAGAAGCACAAACAGCGGAGCAGCACAGCAGTGCACGAAAAGAAACCGCTCACAAAGTGCAGAGAATAGCACAGGCAGGCTCCAAGCACGGCCATTTCACTTCTTGCAGAGATGTGCAATTGCAGCCGTGAGGTAGGCGGCCGTCAATCTATAGGGCATGACCTTCCTCCCTAGCCAATTAAAAAAAAAAAAAGTTGTTCAAGTGTAAAAGTTCCAATGTTCCCAGCCAACACTGGGTTGTTTATTTATATAGATATTTTTTGAAAAGCAAGGCTATAACCAAAATGTGGTGCAAAAGGATTTTTTAAAAATTATCTTAAATACCCCCAGAAGAATTATTCCTAATGTATACAACAATTTTATGCTGGAAAAAAAAAAAAACTAAAGACATTTGACATCTAATTTAAAAAAATGGAAACTTAAAAAAACGATAGCTCAGGACAACGCGAAATGACAAGAATGTTTGTGTAATTTAAGCAAAGGACTTTGTGCGCGGATGTACACCATAAGCCCTAACTTCATTGCTAAAGAGGAGATCCTGCTAGGTTGCGAGTTTGTCCAGCCCCAACAGCCCAAGCTCCCCCCTCTAAACCTCCGCGGTGAGAGCTGGGGATGGAAGAGAGAAGAGCGGGGGGCTGCTGGGATCCCCGCGTCCCTGCGAAGCCTGCGGGGACTCTTCCAGGCGGGATTCCCGGGTTCGCCAGGATCCGGGAAGCCAGGGCAGGTCAGACCCGGTGCCTGCAGCCCAGAGCGCTAGGCCTCGTTATAAATAGCAAAGTATGCGGCTGCTTAGGGCCTCGGCGGGAGGATGAGGTGGCTCTCAAGTGCAATGTTCAAGAAGCAGGCTTAATATATGACTAAGTGTCAGAAGTCAGGTTTTCTGAGAATTACTTTTCAGATAAACAACTTTATAGCACTGCACTTCATCTTACTAGAGACATCTAATTTATCACGGAATTACAAGTAACTTTACTTCTATTGATATTGCCATAAAGCGCGCTGAGGATCCACTGCTAACACTTTGTAAGGGGTTTTTTGGGGGGGGGGAAGGGAAGAGGAGTGGATGAAGCTAGACGGAGAAGGGGGGGTGCTGGAACTTGGGGTCCCGCCTGCACAGGGCTAGGCCAGAGCAGGGTTTCTGGCAGGGCTTTCTGGGCCGGCAGCGCAGGGGGCTGCACCTGCCAGGCTCCTGCAGGGCCAGGTCCTCGCTGCGCCTCTGCTGTCCACCCACCCCGGGAAGGCCGCTTCTCTCCCCGACGCGGACCTGGACGCGGATCAATGTCCACTGACCTTTGCCGAAAGGTGGCGCTGTTGAGGCACAAACCAACTCGCTCCAACAATAGTTTTCACTCTTCCATCCTTCTGCGGGCTTTTCAGAATTTTTTTTTTAAATGCACCCTCCTAGCGTCTCTTCTTCTTGCATAAAGTAAAATAAAAACGGTGAGCACCGCACGCACTTCACTAATTGGAGAGATCGGCAGCCTCCCCCACTTCCAAGGAGGCGTCCTGCCCCCCACCAAACCTCGGCTCCCGCCGTCTCCCTCTAACCCTATATAAATCTCGGCTTCTGCGACTTGCGTATCGCTTTAAAATCTTAGAAACAGACTTGTCGGTTTCTCTCTCTTTTTTTTTCTTCATTAAGCTTTAAAAGAATCGATCTAGAAAAACTGAACGGGTTATTAGCATTTGCAAAGGGGAAAGGAGTAAAACTGGGGGGGGGGAAGGACACCCCACCCCCCACACTCTGGATTTCTTGGCTCCTCCAAGAAAAAAAGTGGCTTAAAATTTAACCCTTCGAGGGCAGCCCAGGGAGGACTGGGGTCTGGTGTTCCCCCGTGCCACGGAGGACAAGTCTGGAATCCTTAAGCGAAACGTACCCAGACCCTCTCGGAGGACGGCGGAGTCGGCCGTGGGTCGGGGGCGTGAGGCTCAGGGGCAGCGCCCAGGCCAGAGCGCAGCGCCCTGGGCCCGGCTCCACTTCCCGGGAATGCTCCGGGCCGCGGACACGCCACCTCCCCCCAGGGCGCGCGCCTGCAGCTACAGGACAGACCCCAACGCACCCCTCCTACACACACACACCCCATTTCATCCACCTCCGTGCGAGAGACTGCCCCAGGGCCGCTCCCTCCCGTGCACCCCCAGCTCCCCACACCCCAAGCCCGGCAGGCGCGGCGGAGCTTCGTTCCCCTGCGCAGCCCCGACTCCCGCAGAGCGCGCGTTACCCCGCGCAGTGGCAGCGCCGAGAGAGGGGCAGAGTTGGAGCCAAGTTTCAGCTTGGGGCACAGCCGGGCCCAGGGAGGCAGGATCTTCCCGCCGACACCTGGGTACCAAAGGTGCAGGTAGAAGAGAATAGCTGCGAGCCCAAGGCGGCCGTCTCGGGAGTGGGGGGCGGGGGTGCAGAACGGGCTGGGGGAGCCGAGCCGGTGCCAGCGCCAGGAGCCGAGCTAGGAGAGTGAGCAGGGGCCCCGGTCGCGCTTGAAAGAATGAAAACAATCAGTCCCCACCACCACCACCCCCACCCCCACCCAGAGCCCGCTTAGGCTCTTGTCGCCCCTTCTGGAAACCCCTTTTCCTCTCTGGCACCAAACTTTGCGCGGGGCCACGCTCGCTCCGGGGGAGCGCAGCGCAGGAAGGGTTAAACCAGCCCGTCCCAGCTGACAGTCAGCTGATTGGGCCCTGATTGACAGCTCCAAAAAGTTTCCTTGTTTCTATACTATTATGCTAATCGCGCCGCGCTCACAGCCTGCCATTGGCCCAGAGTGCCAGTCAATTTCCCATTTGGGCCTGACGTCACAAGCGCTATAAAACTCAGCAATTGCTTTAAACTCTTCTTGCTGGATCAGAGGCTTTAAAATCTTTTTTCATCTTCGCGCTGTACCTCGGGCTGCTCGTCCGCTCGGCCTAACCCCCCTTACTCTCCTGCCTTGCCTTTCCCCAGGACTTTGCAATTTTGCTTTTTAGAAGAGAGAGAGAGAGAGGAGGGGGGAAAAGGCAAGAAGGAACTGAACTCCCCACTCCCTTCCCTCCAGCCGGGCTCGCACCTCTGCCTTGCACTTTGCACAGAGGGAACGAGAGCGAGGGAGACAGAGACAGAAACAGAAAGAGGAGAAAGAGAGAGAATTCAAAAGAGCCAGGAGACGCGGAGGCGAGAAGCATGAAGTGTTAACTCCCCCGTGCCAAGGCCCGCGCCGCCCGGACAGCGCCCGCCGCGCCTGCAGCCCCGAGCGGCCGCCGTGCGCGCCCCGCCTGCAGCCGGGCCGGCGAGCCGAGCCCTCCTTATGCAAAGGGCGCAGCGGAGCGGCGAGCGGGGGACGCCACGCACCCGGCCGGGCTCCTCCGGCTTCGCCGCCGCAGCTCGCCGAGGACCTTCTCCAGCCTGAAGCCGGCGGCCCGGCGCGCACAGAGGCGAGCAGGCGAGGAGGGGCCGGGGCGAGCGAGCGAGCGAGCCAGCGAGCGAGCGAGTCCCTTGGCGTGAGCAGGCGGGGAGGGAGGGCGGGCGCGGGGGGCGCGGGCAGGGCGGGAGGGGGGGCGTGTGCGCGCTCGGAGGTTCCGGGCCAGCCGCCGGCGCGCGAGCTAGAAGCGCCCCAGCCCGGCAAGCTGGCTCACCCGCTCGCCGCCCAGCACAGCCCGCTGGCCCCTCTCCTGCAGCCCATCTGGCGGAGCGGCGGCGGCGGCGGCGGCAGGAGGATGGCATCAGAACTGGCGATGAGCAACTCCGACCTGCCCACCAGTCCCCTGGCCATGGAATATGTTAATGACTTCGATCTGATGAAGTTTGAAGTGAAAAAGGAGCCGGTAGAGACCGACCGCATCATCAGCCAGTGCGGCCGTCTCATCGCCGGGGGCTCGCTGTCCTCCACCCCCATGAGCACGCCGTGCAGCTCGGTGCCCCCTTCGCCCAGCTTCTCGGCGCCCAGCCCGGGCTCGGGCAGCGAGCAGAAGGCGCACCTGGAAGACTACTACTGGATGACCGGCTACCCGCAGCAGCTCAACCCCGAGGCGCTGGGCTTCAGCCCCGAGGACGCGGTCGAGGCGCTCATCAGCAACAGCCACCAGCTCCAGGGCGGCTTCGATGGCTACGCGCGCGGGGCGCAGCAGCTGGCCGCGGCCGGCGCCGGCGCCTCGCTGGGTGGCAGCGGCGAGGAGATGGGCCCCGCCGCCGCCGTGGTGTCCGCCGTGATCGCCGCGGCCGCGGCGCAGAGCGGCGCGGGCCCGCACTACCACCACCACCACCACCACGCCGCGGGCCACCACCACCACCCGACGGCCGGCGCGCCCGGCGCCGCGGGCAGCGCGTCCGCCTCGGCCGGGGGCGCGGGCGGCACAGGCGGCGGGGGCCCGGCCAGCGCCGGGGGCGGCGGCGGCGGAGGAGGAGGAGGAGGAGGAGGAGGCAGCGGCGGCGGCGGCGGGGGCGCGGCGGGGGCGGGGGGCGCCCTGCACCCGCACCACGCGGCGGGCGGCCTGCACTTCGACGACCGCTTCTCGGACGAGCAGCTGGTGACCATGTCGGTGCGCGAGCTGAACCGGCAGCTGCGCGGGGTCAGCAAGGAGGAGGTGATCCGGCTCAAGCAGAAGAGGCGGACCCTGAAAAACCGCGGCTATGCCCAGTCCTGCCGCTTCAAGAGGGTGCAGCAGAGGCACGTCCTGGAGTCCGAGAAGAACCAGCTGCTGCAGCAGGTCGACCACCTCAAGCAAGAGATCTCCCGGCTGGTGCGCGAGAGGGACGCGTACAAGGAGAAGTACGAGAAGTTGGTGAGCAGCGGCTTCCGAGAAAACGGCTCGAGCAGCGACAACCCGTCCTCTCCCGAGTTTTTCATGTGAGTGTGACATGCGGCCCCAGCTGTAGCCACCCTGCTAGGCGCTCCGCGGGGACCCGGCCCGGGCCTGTGTGGGCTTCGGCTCGCCCCAACGCCGCGCTCGCCACCACCGCGCCCCCTCCCCAAGCCGAGCCCGGCCCCTGGTGCCCGCGCGCGCGCACACACACATCCATGCACACACACACACACACACACACACACGCACGCACGCACCCCACTCCCCGGTGTTGCTGCTGCTGGTGGTGGTGGTGGCGGCGGTGGCGACAGCTGCGGCGGAGGCTGTTTTAAGTTGGGGAGGGAAGGGGTTTCCGGCCCCGTGGATTGCCGATCTCAAAGTCTCCATAACCTGCTAGCTTGTTGGGTTTTTCTTTTTCTTTTCTTTTTTTTTTACAACACGTCCCCCCCGCCCCGTCCCCCCAAGACTTGCACAATGTTCAAAGATCTCCACAGAACTCTTCAAGCGAAACATTGCTCACCCTTGAAGCCTGTATCATTCACCACTCCACCTTCAGTTCATGAGCTGGTGTTCATCTTTCTCTGTGTGTGTTTTACTTTTGTTGTTGTTGTTGTTTGAATTTTATTTTTAATTTTACTTTTTTGGAGCTTGCTGTGTTGGCCAACTTCCACCCTCACTCCCTCTCCACTCATCTCCGAGATAAAAGAAAAAAAAAGTGAAGTTTTTTTTTTTTCTCTTCCTCCTGAGTTCTTCAAGTGAGATTGAGCTTGCAAAGGAAAAAAAAAATGTGAAATGCTATAGACTTGCTCCGTGCTGAGTTCCACCGGGTTTTTTCTTTGAGCATTGTTATGCTAAACTAGAGAAAAAACTCCTCCTGAACCTGCCACAATCAAGCTTGCATCCACCTCCTGGGTCTGACCTGTGAGTCTGGGCCCTGGGATGCCAAACCTGAGAGTTCAGTCTGCCATTTAAAAAAAAAAAAAAAAGAAACTCATTCTCATCTCGTGCATTATTATGCTTGCTACTTTGTCTTAGCAACAATGAACTTTAACTGTTTCAAAGACTTTATGGAAAAGAGACATTATATTAATAAAAAAAAATAAAAGCCTGCATGCTGGACATGTACGGTATAATTATTTTTTTCTTTTTTCTTTTTTTTTTCCTTCTGGCTTGGAAATGGACGTTCGAAGAGCATGGCATTTGTACTTTTGTTTTATTGCCTCATGACTTTTTAGAGTTGAGAACAAAAAAAAAGTGCAACCCTAGAACCTTCTTCCCATGAAAGTTTGCAAACTGCTTTGAGTTACCCAGGACGGAGTCGCACTGTAAATGCACTGAAGGTATTCCTTGTCAAAGATGCCAGAAGGGGTTACACATTTAACATGGCAAATACGAAAGAACTCCACATGTTTTCTTTTTCATGATGCCCCACTTTGGGGACTAAAATCCAGCTGTTGCCAGAGAGCAGGCTAAAATTTATTTTAAAAAAGAAAAGAAACCTGCCCCATTATTTTTTTGGTTTGTTTTATTTTATTTTATTATATATATATATTTTTTTTCTTTTGGATTTTGGTCATTGTCAAATGTGGAATGCTCTGGGTTTCTAGTATATAATTTAATTCTAGTTTTTATAATCTGTTAGCCCAGTTAAAATGTATGCTACAGATAAAGGAATGTTATAGATAAATTTGGAGGAGTTAGGTCTGTTTAGCTGTAGATTTTTTAAAAGATTGATGCACTAAATTGTTTACTGTTGTGATGTTAAGGGGGGTAGCGTTTGCAAGGGGACTGTTTAAAACAAAAGTAGCGTATCAGCATGTGCTTGCAACTTCCAGCTAAGTTGGGTATGTGTAGTCTTTGCTATACCACACTGACTGTATGGAAAACCAAAGTATTACAAGGGGAAACGCCCCCGTTTATATCTGTAGGGGTATTATTTTACATTCAAAATGTATGGTTTTTTTTTTCAAAAATTAAAGTATTTGGGACTGAATTGCACTAAGATATAACCTGCAAGCATATAATACAACAAAATTTGCAAAACTGTTTAGAACGCTAATAAAATTTATGCAGTTAAAAAAAATGGCATTACTGCACAGTTTTAAGATGATGCAGATTTTTTTACAGTTGTATTATGGTGCAGAACTGGATTTTCTGTAACTTAAAAAAAAATCCACAGTTTTGAAGGCAATAATCAGTAAATGTTATTTTCAGGGACTGACATCCTATCTTTAAAACAATGAAAAGTAAATCTTAAAACAATAAATATAAAAAAATCTTGTCAGTTACTTTTCTTTTACATATTTTGCTGTGCAAAATTGTTTTATATCTTGAGTTACTAACTAACCATGCGTGCGGTTCCTATGTGCTTTCCTTTCATTTTCAATTCTGGTTATATCAAGAGAAAGAATAATCTACAATAATAAACTGCATTTTTTTTTTGATTCTGTACTCCATTTCTTAGTGTACAGTTTAACTGGGCCCAACATCTGCATGAGAGTTGTGCTGCCGTGCATTCTTGTTCTGCTGTGGAAGCGTTCCTGGAGGCGCAGGGAGGCGGACTGTCCTAGCAGTGGCTCACGCTGGCCCCCTGTGGGAATGAGTGATTTTCAGTACAGATGTGTATTCTGTTCTCTTGCTTTTTTCTGCTTCCCGAAGTTTTCAGTTTTCAGATAAGTTGAGTTATCGTTATTCCCTTTTCGTGAAGAATAAACAACAACAACAACAACAAAAATTGTCCATGGAGCTGGGCTTTCCGAACAGGGCCCTGAACTTGGGAGCCAGGCACAAACTTGTCCCGGACAGGGAGGCAGCGAGTGCGGCCCTGGGAGGCGGCTTGGGCCCGTATGCATTGCACGGCACACATGGACAGTTCTTGGCCTTTTGGCTAAAGCTGGTTATTTTTGCTTCTTCTCTTACACACAGTGGTTTTCTTGTTAGGAAGGCCTGACAAGAAGGAATATAAACACTTGGGGATAAATCAAAGCTGTTTGTTTTGCTTTTGCTTTTTTTTTTTTCTTCTATAACTTTGAAGGTCATTTGTCTTAAATAGGAAAAAGAAAGTCCACCCCTTACTTACATAACTGCCAGTACATATCAGATATAAACTGTGGTTATCAAATCATATTTCGCTGGGAATATTGGTGGAGTGCTTCTCCCCTAAGACAGGCTGGTAATGATTTCAGATCACATTAGCCCGAGGAATATAAGCAGAAAATAATGCCTTTGCGAAATCAAGGTTGTGCTGTGATTGATACTCAGTGCCGTGCAGACTGCGTGGGGAAGGAGTGGGGCCATCCCTGCTAGGAGCTGGACTCCCAGCACTGACCCATTCTAATGGGCACACGTTGGTGCGACTGATGTTACAAATTCTTGCAGTTTGCACTCTTACCCCAACTTCCCTTAGGATCTTGGAAGAATGTCAGACAAAGCCCAGCGCTCTTTTGAAAACACAGCCAGACACTTTTGTTTTCTATTCTTAAAATTTTTAAAAGAGATAATATTGCAACTCTGAACGAAGCCCTGGTTTGAGAGAACGCAGGTTGCACGTGGTGCTGAGTTCTGACCTCCCTGCCTCTTTGGCACAGAACAGGAGGACAGTGTTTACCGGTGCATTTGACCTTGGCTCGCGTGCCCGTTCTGATACGGCTCCCGATTCACACTCCATTTTGCTGAACCAAAGTCTTAATAGTAAAGCTTCTCCCATTTGCTGGAAGTTAGCTGGTCTCATTTGCAAAGAATTTTTTCTCCTCCGCTCACAGCGAGCTGACACACAGTGGCAAGTCCTCCATCCTCCCTCCTTTGGAGTTAGAACTGCAGAGACTGGTTTTACAGACCACTTAGCATGGCATGAAACATTTTAGGCAAACATTCCCCCAAATAAGGCTGACACTGGAGTGCAGTTGCTGCGTGTGGTACCTCACAGCGACGGGGACCTAGATTGGGTAAAAATATATTTATGCAACAGTTAGGCACTCGGATAGGAAACTGCAAGGCGGTTCAAGATCATCAGCCAGTTTTTGCCTCAGAACATCAGAAAAGGAAGTGGAAGGCACTGGTCGGAATGGGGCGTGGGTGGTTGGTTTCACCAAGAGCTGAACTGGGCGGCAAGGGCCCGGTTTTAGCAATAACAATTACTACAAATTTCAGAATACAGCAAGAGTGGTACACACGCATCCATACTTCTTTTTTATAGACAGCTGCTAAATCCTCACGTAGGTGCCGTTCATGCCTCCAGTCTCCAAATTTAAAAAAAGAAAAGAAAAAAAAATATCTAACTTTCCCCTTGACACTGCATTGGAGTCTTTGTCTAAATAGTGTTAAAATTCCGTTCATTCCAGTTACAGAAGGGACCCCACTCGGAAGTTGGCGCCCTCAGTGAAATATGCCACGTTTAGAAGCCCCAGCAAAGTGGACTTTCCTGGGTGTTCACAAGGTGAAATTTGTGGAATGTGTTGTGTATTAATATATATATATGTATGTATTCTTCGGAATTACTATTATTTGCAATCTTGAACGAACCCTACCTTACTTCTGCTTAGTTTCCCTTTTTTTTTTTTAAAGTCATGATAATTGTGTGGGAGAAGAGCTACTGAATGCATAACCCCCATGCTAATTGGCTACTTCCACGCAGTCCCGGAGTCTTCAATTTCATCCCAAGGATGCCACATGCCAGCTTCTCCCCCTCTCCCACGCACACAGCCACTGAGGTGCCTTTGTTGCCAACTTGTGCTAACAGTGTATAAAATGCACTGAAACCGCAGACACCTCGCACTGCCGTTCAGAAGGAGGCGAGGTTTGCTAGAAGGGGACATTGGGAACGGCCAGCATTGCAAACAATGCGCCGGCCTAGCTACCACTTTGTCACACTTCATCCTTTTCTCCGGCAAATCATTGCACCAAGAAGGGCAAATGATCTGTTCCCCCACTGCAAACAGACCTCACTGGCAGAAGCACTGAGCAGAACCAAGCTCCCCCCACTTTGCTGCCAGGCCCCGGACAGTGTTGTGTGTGTGTGTGCACGGTCGTCACCATGTTCCTTTGTCAGCCACAACTGTGGACAAAAGCAACGTGTGGCGAAATGCAAAGGTAGACAAATGTCCCCCACCTCGCCATGTGCTTCCCCGCTCCCTTCAACATTCCCTGGAAAACACAGAAATTAGCCTTCAGTGTCCCAGCTTTCTGCATGTTTCTTTTCTCAAAAAGCCATGCCATAATTTTTTTCCAGTGTATCTGACACATTCATATATTGACATCTACTGCTCATCTGTCCTACCCTTGCCCCACAGACAAATCTGCTCTAAACGTCATTTCCTCCCCGTGTCGGCGCCATCACCACCTGGGCCCCCTCTCCAGGCAGGCCGCCCAGTGGGGAATAACTCTATTCATCACCCATCGCAGTGTGTTCACGCTCTGCTCGTCCCTCCCGCACACCTTCACCCCAGTCGTTTTTATTTAGTAACATCCATTCTAGATACTTCTTCAGTTGGACTTGCCTTTGCCAAACCACAAACTGGACCTCACAGAGCAGCCAGCACGCGACACATGGTGGCCGCCCTCACCAACGCGGCACGCGGCTCTCTTGGTAGCAGCATTCCCAGCAATGCCCAGTCTTGATGACTGAAGTTGCCAGTGGCACACCCTGAGGACAGTGCCCTTGGAAGCTGCCACGTGGTGCCATGGCTTCAGCTTAAGACATTCCACTTCCATCTTGGCATACACTAGGAAACCTAGGCCAGTCCTCTTTAAATTTTTGACTTTCACATCAATCCACCTTTCTTTTCTTCCTTCCTTCCTTTCTTTATTTCTTTTCTTTCTTTTTTCTTTTTTTCCTGCCTGCCTAAAGTTAAAAACTGTAAGCGTGGGAGAGTAAATGAATGCATGAGTGACAGCAAACACACAACCAGCAAACATACAGAAGTGGTCCTGGTGCCATGGCCATCCCGCGACACCACAGTGACGGGCCACCCTTCCTGGGTGTGCAGGCTTCCCCGGTGACCCACTTTCATCTGAGTTTTTAATAATGATGCCCCTTCCCTTTGAACACATGTCTTAGCTGTTTTTGTGTATTTATTTTCATTTTGGTGGGTTTTTCTTAATTTTTTTTTTTTTGGAAGGAGGCTTTGTCTGCATGGAGAGGCCATACTTTTGACCATTTCTGATCGCTCATCAAGATGCTCAACTAACAATTTCATGCCTTCCTTGCCATTTGGAGGAAAACGAGAACATTTCTGGTTCCTGTTCACTCTGAACCTGTTGGAAAATACGAGCTGTCTCCAGGTCCCAGCCAGGGCAGGGAGTAGCCACCATAAGGGAGGTGACCAAGGCCCAGTCTCATGGATCAGGATTTGTTTGTTTTTGCATTTGTTTAGAAAATAGTGTAAAAGTCTTACCCCTACCTCCCTGTAACACTGCTTTTGAGATAATCTTCAAAATCCAGACAGCGAACAAACACCAGAAAAAGGGAATTTCTCTCCGGGCTTTGCTCTGCCCCAGCTCCCAGAACAAACCCAGCTCTGTGTTGGGTTTTCCCGGGAGCGGGGGCAGAGGACAGGGTGAGAGAATTTCAGTCCCCCTGCCTGTCTCATGATTGTCGGGGCATAAAGAAGTACAGTCCTGCCACAAAGTGGGACATCGTTACCCTGTAGAGAGGAACAAAACAAAACAAACCCAATGGCTCTGGCCAAGGCCGAGCCAGCCCCCAGGCTTCCTGCTCCCGGGACCATCTGTAGGAGGTGAGAAATGAGAGCCAGGAGGACTTGGAAAGAAGAGTGCAGGTCATTGAGTGGCCAGTTAATCAGGTGCAAGGAAGGTTGGCTGGGCGAGCCGTTTCCTTCAGAATCCTCCCTGAAACAGTCTTAGGCAGCAAATCCAAAGGGGAGGCATCCATGTCTCCGTTGGGGGGGCGTTTTTACATAAATGCATCAATCTGTGGTTGAGTGGTGGTCACTTTTTGCATCGGGCAGTTGTGCCAGTATTTATAGTCACTGCCCCGGGTTGTGGATGGTCCAGGCGTTTCTGAGAGCTTACTGGGAGGCCCTTTGTGTGTCTTCTGTAAATCTGTCCCCCATAGAACAAGGCTGAGGGAGAAAGCACCTCAACAAAACACGGAAATCAAATCTTGGAATCCATATGAGAGCTGGATAGTTTTGAGAAAGTCATGGAACACAGTTTTGGACAGGGAGGCTCTGACTGGAGTGCAGGGTCGCCTCCCGTGGCACAGGCACATCTCACTCCCTTCCTTTCCCTTAAATCGCCATTTTCCCTTTAATGAGGACTGGATTGCAACACCACATTCCTCCCTTCTGCATGGATTCCTCTCCGATCTTGCATTATGATTAGAAAGGGGCGCCGATTCCAAAAGAAAGCACTGGCGGGGGTGGGTGGGTGGGGGTGTCTGCAAGGTTTCCAAAGAGAGGTAGAGCAGAGGCAAGCAGTCCTGCTGCCTTGGCCCCCGCCCGGCCATCCCTGCCCCCTGCTCACTGCCAGCCCAGCCTGGGCCAGGGCTGTAAAGCAGGGTTTGGAGCTCAGACTTTCCCTAGCCAAAGCAACCTCATTAGCACCCTTGCCTATTTCCAGCATAAGATTCGTTTTGTTGTTTTGTTTCTGGTTCTCTGGGTTAGGGGCAGGAGATGGCTGGAAGTCTTGTGGTCAAGTGGGGAGCAGTGAGGACCCCATCAGGGCTGCCTGAAAAGGGAGCCTGACCTGAAGCACTGGGTCAGTGGCCGAGGTCCCTGCCTGCAGTCAATATTTGCTCTGATTCTATGTGACCTTGTGCACTTCAGGAGGGCCGTGGAAGTGGGTGTCTGACCTCCTCCGGGACATTCTCCAGTGGGAAACAGGCCGGCTCACCCCATGCCCACAGAAGCACTGGAAAGGAAGGGGCCAACCTTGGCTCATGACCTTCAGTCGTCAGGGGTCAGCTTCAGGTCCCCAGCTCCCACCAGGGAGGATCTGTTTGTAGAGGGAGCTACAGGCCTCTGACATGCCCTGAGCCCTGCACAGATTCCTAACGCAATCATGAGGTTCTTGTTCCAGACTTGCAGGCCCCATACCACACCTCCTGGCCCCTTCTGGCCAGAGCCTCAGAGGGCAGTGCTGGGGCCAAGGAACAGTCGACCCCGTGTGTCTTCCCCAGCCCCGGTTGAAGTGCCTCAACCGATCAAAGCAAGGATAGAGAAAAGGGCTGGAGTGTTCCTGAATCTGGCACTTTCTCATCTCCAAGCCCCATGAAGGAGATGAAGGCAGGGAGGTCAGAGTTTGCCTCCCAGTCTGTATACGCCCCCTACACACACCCCTACTGGCCCCAGTCCTTTCGGATACCTGCTCATTGTGGCACAACCGTCCCTAGCGTCGCTGCTGCCCTGGACTCGGTTAGCTGGAACTGAGTGGGACCCCGCGGCGCTTCTTACCGCTGGGGTCCACTCGCGCGGAAGGTGCGCAGAGTGGAGACCGGTGACTGGAGCCAGGAGGCAGGGACAGGTCCCAGCTACTGCGTGAAGCCAGATCGCATCCCGAGGCCCGCAGCCCAGCCTGGGGAAGCCGGTGCGCTCCTGGACCATCACTACTCAGAGTCCCTCCTTTATGTCCAAAACGCGGCAGGCGGCGGCTACCGCCAGTGACACTTGGCACCTCCCGGGTCCCGTGTCCACCCAGGCACCCTCGCTGTAGCCAGGGGCTCGGGTTTGTATTGGAGTTTAGTGTTGGTTTTCCAGGAGAAGTGCGAAGGCGGCGGGAGATGGGGTCTGGTTGGGAAGGGGTCCTGAGTTTGGGAAGGGGTATTCCAGGGGCGGAGAGCCTGGGCAGGCGCACCGAGGGAGGGAGCCGAAGCCCGCAGTCCAAGGCTCCGCCCTTCACCTTGGCGCCCCAGCCCACCGCCGAGCGCCAAGATTATTCCCCGGCGGAAACTCAGCCGCGACTCCAGATTGCCTGATTTTGCTGTCTTTCACCCTCCTCCCCACCTTAAAAAAAAAAAAAAAAAAAAAAAAAAAAAAAACAACTTTCCTGCTTTGGTTAGCAACAGAAAGCAAAAGAGCAAAGAAGGAAATCCAGAGAGCATGTTTCACAATCTTTATTGGAGCTCGGTTCTGGTTGGGGTTTCCGCGGCGAAGTTGGATGCACCTTGCAAACCAAAGCCCCAAAGCCGGGCCGCACACTTGATCCGAATTCTCCCACATGGCGCTGGTGACTCCAGACAGACCCCAGGCACTGTCTCCCGGTGACAGACTTTAAAATGAATTTTACACAGGATCCCTTGCTTGCAAGATCCCTCTGTCTGGGAGAAGAGTTAAATTAGGAAATGAATTACGTCTCAGCTTTTCTCTTTCCCTTTGCTCCAGGGAAGAATTTATTAGGGTGCAGTTAAATACCTTGAAACTGAAAAATGGCCAGAGCGTTGTCACGTTGTCAGATTCTGAAGAATCTGTTTTGATAGAAAAGGGATCAGAAGGGGATCAAGAACCCTGGAGTGCCACACTAAGACTCAATCTACTACAAGATGCTGTTTACCTCTTTCCTATTTTCAGACAATGACTTCGACGTAGTTTTTTATTTGCCATTTATTTTGATTTTACTTTGTCTTTTTATTTACTTATTTTTGGAGGGAACCTTTTTGTAGCCATCACGCGGGGAAGGCTGCTGATA